CATTAGATAAATATTGACAGCATACATTCAATGAGGAGAACAAATGTACGATCCAAGAGGGATACATTAGATAAATATTGACAGCATACATTCAATGAGGAGAACAAATGTACGATCCAAGAGGGATACATTAGATAAATATTGACAGCATACATTCATTGAGGAGATCAAATGTACGATCCAAGAGGGATACATTAGATAAATATTGACAACATACATTCAATGAGATCAAATGTACGATCCATTAACCCTTAATTCAAACGTTTTTATGCTAATAATTTTGTTCACCTTTATTACTTAGCAACAATATAATGCTAAAAAGTTTGAGTAACTTAAGAGTTGTAAGCTTTATACGGTTTTAAATTACAGAATGAATTTCATTTTTATGCGGAATATTGTATAGAAAGTGTATAAAAACACACACACACATATATATAAAGCATTTTTATCAACTAAATTTTACTTTCATCAAAAGTCATTTTTGACGTTTCGAGAGCTTGACCAACAGGTGTCTTCTCTCAAGTAATTTACTCAAACATTCCACTGATACTTGTTAGTAGGTTTATTGAAAATAACCCACAGTTGTTAAGCAAATTCCTTATTGAAAATAATCCAAAGTAGTTAAGCTAACTGATTATTGAAAATAATCCAAAGTTGCTAAGCTAATTGATTATTGAAAATAACCCACAGTTGTTAAGCAAATTCATTATTGAAAATAATCCAAAGTTGTTAAGCTAATTCATTATTGAAAATAATCCAAAGTAGTTAAGCTAACTGATTATTGAAAATAATCCAAAGTTGCTAAGCTAACTGATTATTGAAAATAACCCACAGTTGTTAAGCTAATTCATTATTGAAAATAATCCAAAGTTGCTAAGCTGATTGATTATTGAAAATATTCCAAAGTTGCTAAGCTAATTGATTATTGAAAATAATCCAAAGTTGTTAAGCTAATTCATTATTGAAAATATTCCAAAGTTGCTAAGCTAATTCATTATTGAAAATAACCCAAAGTTGCTAAGCTAATTCATTAGTACTAGAAATAAACGACCTTATAACACCAACTTGTTGTTTATATCTAATTAGACACCCAACGTTTCGCTTTACAGCTTCTTCAGAAGCGTTCACTAAAACACAAACCGAAATTGACAGTACAAGGTTTAAATGGTTTTTTTCATTTTCCATTAGAAGCTTAGTACTGTCAGTTTCGGTTTGTGTTTTAGTGAACCTTCTTAAAGAAGCTGTAAAGCGAAACGTTCAGTGTCTAATTAAATAAAATAAGAACAACATTTTGGTGTTATAAGGTCGTTTATTTTTAGTATTAATATATCTTCTATACAAAAATATTTACTACAGAAATTAAATAATACGCTAATTCATTGTTTTTGACAATTCGGCCTAATTCACCTCAAACTAAGTCTATGGGTAAGATATCAGGTCATTATTTCCAATATCTCAGATCATTATTTTACTTCAAATAATTACTATACAGTTTAGGCTCGTTATCTTGTTGCATAACAAATCCCTGATCGATATTTCTTAAACCAGATGAGAAAACATGGCGCTGGTAGATGAGGTGATACGCTATTCTCATTTCACACATATCTCCAAATGAAATATTGCCAAGTTACTTCCAGACTACAATATTTCCACCACCGTTGCTGTTTCATACACTCACGAACCGATACATCAGCTGGACACAATAATTTTGAACTTCTTCGGTTAATCTGTCCAGAACACCTTTCCTATTGTTCACCAGTCCAATTTGTATGTTCTCTGTCCCATTTCAGTCATCTGAGTTTGAGAACACCTTTCCCATTGTTCACCAGTCTGATTTCAATGTTCTCTGTCCCATTTCAGTCATCTGAGTTTGAGAACACCTTTCCCATTGTTCACCAGTCTGATTTCTATGTTCTCTGTCCCATTTCAGTCAGCTGAGTTTGAGAACACCTTTCCCATTGTTCACCAGTCTAATTTCTATGTTCTCTGTCCCATTTCAGTCAGGTGAGTTTGAGAACACCTTTCCCATTGTTTACCAGTCCAATTTCTATGTTCTCTGTTCCATTTCAGTCATTTGAGTTTGTTCCGAGCTTGTAATAAGGGTTCATAGCCTGAAGTCATCCACACAGGTTGCTTTACATAGTCTACATTATGAGATAATGGATAATTATTTTTCTTTCTATTTTTTTATTTCCATTTCTCCTTGATATTGAGCAATCATTGAAAATCGCTGTCTGTACCTTTTTGTCAATAGTAGTTTAAAGCCAAGCGTGGCCAAATGGTTAGCGTGTGCCGGACTGTGAATCTGAGGCTCCGAGATTTGCGTCCCATTACCGCAATATGTGCTCCGCATGTGGGGAATTGTGAATACTGTTGGTTAAATTAGGGATGGTTAGTGCAGATAGCCCGTGGGTAAGTTTGCACAAATTCTCAAAACAATCAAGACAGACCAGTTTCAACATCAGATGTTCCCAAACTGATTAGACAGCCAATGATACAGGTACATTGCACAATGAACTAAAACAAACGTCCTGTGTGTGTTCAGTATATAATTGACAATAAGTTCAGTGGCTTTAAATATCCTGTATTAATTCAGCTTTTTCATACATGTCCAGATAACTCTTCCCATAGTGCTGGAGCTAGCAGGACTGCCTTGGAATGCAGCCCGGGGGATCCTCATCTATATGGCATAGCTCCCCTACTAAAGGGGGATAAAATGATCCTGGAAGGTTACCCAGCAATGATGAAACTCTGAGAGTAGGTTTTCGTTGGTCTCGATTCTCACATAAGATTTTGTGTTCGTTCCCTCTCGGGTTCCCAGGGACGCCATGTTAAAACTGTGTTTATACCACAATTCATAGGTGCTCAGATACCACTGGCAGGTATCTTAACAGGATTTTTTTTGGGGGAACGGAACTTGTGGAACTCGAGAAAAGAACACCGAGTATAATACATATAAAATAAATAATATATATATAAATAAGCTAATACTCACATTATGATTGATTGGATGTGTGATACTGTGAAAAAGAATTTGTATTTAAAGCCTTGCAAATTTATATATATAAACATCCTGCATTTTCCCTTTTCACGAGGTTCTACGTCAGTCTTACGAAATGAAATTATTAGTGCTATACACTTAGTATACTGGTTAGGCTTAAGCATAAATGTTCTGTATAGCGGTTAGGCTTAAACATAAATGTTCTGTATAGCGGTTGTTTCTCAGAAACCAGAGATAGTTGAAAATCACATCAAAGTATAACCATACGAAAGAACATGTATAGTAAGAGTTTGTGAAACTCGATTATTGTAAATTTATCACGTGCTTTACAAAAAATTGTAATGGCAGCTGATTATGAAGTGATAAAGACGACAGTAATGTGTAATAATTAACTTGATGAATTCTGAATAACGAAAAAAAAAAGGGTGTTTATTATTACAACATGCAAATCTAACTAAATTTTATCGTTCTTAACTTGATGCCAAAAATGTTTGAAATAAAATGGCTGACAAGCTCTGCATCATTTTATAGTGACCAAGAAAGAAGGAAACATGAAATTAAAATACACACATAAGTAAATGTATGCTGAACAGGACAATTATAGGATAGTCAGAATACTGTGGCCATTACAAATTTATAGAGTAAAAGCACTGCTATAAAATAATGCCACTCACCCCTTCAATTATGCAAATCATAGAGTTTATGATCAGTTATGCAATCTGACATGCAAATACACTGGTATTAGATAAGCATTAACAGATATACTCACCTCTACATCCTGTGGAATGGTACCATTTATGTTATACATTATAGAAATCATATCCTACAATTCTTTCTGTTGCCATATGCTGGTTTGTTTGTTT